GGGTGCGGATTTTTAAAATATTCGTATGATATATTGATTTACATTAATAAACATGATTGGTTTTTTAAGAGCATTTGTGATAGCATGAGCTGTTAGCCTTGGTAGGCAATTTTGAATGGATTTACAATAATTTATATATTGCTATTGTATAAAGCATGAACTGGTAGAAACCATAAGAAGTTTGTGAATGCAAGTGTTTTTAAAGTGATTTGGATATACCTATAGATAAGCTATACGCATAAAGAGTTTTAGAAACCCAAAAACAAGCCTTTCACAATGTTTGTATCAAAATCTATGCCTTGTATTCTTTTGTATGATATAAATAGCTAATGCATTTGTTAAACGATTTTGAATGCAAGTTTTGAGCTTCAGTTTTAGCCCAATTTGTATATAAATATTTACACCATGCCATTTAGCTTGAAAAGTAACTTCAAAGGGGTTATCAAACCTTGATTTGAAAGGATTTAAAAGGAAAAGCCTTGTAAAACCTGATTTGGTTCTAAAAATGATTTTGATAAACTGAGAGCGTCAAGAGTAGGCCGACTATCACTTCGGTTAAGTGTGACCCTTGTGCACATGTGAGGTTTAGCTAGAGAACTTTTGGGTTGCCAACAGGCTGTTAGACGTGGCTGGGGGCCATAGTCTGTGATTTACATGGCAAGGCCACTAGTTGTTATATATGGCTAGGCCACCAGTGATATTCGCGGTTGTGACCGCTCAATTTCTCTAATGCCGACCAACATCGTCGAGACTGCCATGGCTGTGGGGATCCGGTGGAGTAGAGCTCTCGGATGTTATTAAGTGGAAATGGGTCCATGGGTGATTCCTATACTTACCTTCTCAAGAGCCTTGTGAGTTTTCGATGCATACTCTTTGGCATGGTGAAGATTTGAGATTCTTTGTAGCTCCCCTGGTTTGAATAAAAGCTTTCAGTGCATACTTGATGAACCTGAGATGTTTTACGTGGCCATACACTTGATTTCTTTACATGCAACATAATTTGGGAGCGTGCATACTTTAAATCGTTGACCATATTTGTATGGAAAACAATGTTTTCGATTTTGAACTTGGTTTCGTAACATTGTTTCGCTACCATTTTGCCAAGTGAAAATATTATTATGATTTACATCATTATTTTTACAAGGCACAAATATCTTACTTATGATTTGGTATTTAAAGACTGTGATTTAATTATTTCAGTTTTATTATTCAACTTACCTGCTTTATGTGTGTTTCCCATCTACGCCCTGCTCACGGAGCCAATGATCACTGAGTCTGTGAGACTCACCCCCTTATATTTTCCTTTTGTAGACAGTGATCAGCTTAGCGTGTAGTCATTGGCAATTTCAGTCCACCGCGAATAGGTAAAGGTATCTCATAGCACTTTATTCCGAGTTGCTTTGCTAGTAGAGGTCGAGTCTTCATAGAGTAATTTATTATGAAAGTAGACAATTGTGTCAATACAAATGTACATTTAGAGATTATAAGTCATGATGTATCATTTTTACATTTGTGTGGAATAAAAGCTTAGTCGATTTATAAATAATTTTATAGATTGATGGTATAAATGTGAAGTAATGATTAATATTTTAATTAAGGCTTGATCGAGAGTTAGCGGGTTCTCTTGCGTGACTCGGACGTCGATAGCGATTGAGGAGCAGTCGTTATAGAATCTCATGAAGTCCAAGTTTCTTAACAATAAACAAAGGCATAATTGAAACACTAGCAACCAATTCACCCAAAGCTTTTGAAAATTTAGCACTACTGATATTACAAAGGATAGAAAAACTCCTTGGGTCCTTAAGCTTTGGAGGAAGGTTTTTTAGATTATAGCACTGCACTCTTTAGTAAGTGCAATTGTTTCAAAAGCTTCCAATTTCCTCTTCTTAGTCATAATGTTTCTCAAAACTTAACATAGCTTGGCATCTATTCCAAAGTTTCAACAAAAGGGATATTAATATGGAGCTTTTTAAATACCTCAAGAAATCTCTGGAATTGCTTATCAAGTTTTTGCTTTTGAAAACAGTGAGAGAAGGGTGGCGGAGGTTGTCACAGAGATGGTTGAGGTTTCTCACTTGGAGCTTGTTCCACAAAATTTTCAACCACTGTTTCTTTTTCAACAAGCTTACCTAGAAAATCTAATTGCATACTATTGCTTTCTGCCTTTTTCCCACTTCTAAGTGCGGTTGCATTACAATGCTATTTTCCTTCTCTTCTAAGATTAGGTTCAATGTTACTCGATAAAGTTTCCTAAGGCCTATTATTGATGGCATTGGCAAGTTGGCCCACTAGTGTCTCAAGATTTCAAATTATAGCCACTCGACTTTGAATGATGGCATCATTCTTTTCTATGTAGGCATAATACATTGCCATCAATTGTATGAACATTTCTTCCATCAGTGGCTTTTTCTCAAACATAGGAGCTCTAACTTGAGGTGGGAATCTAAGAGGAAAATTTGGCTTTAGAACTAATAAAGATCTCTGATTATTGTTCCAAGAAAAGTTATGGTTATTCCTCCACCCAAGATTATAAGTGTTAGAGTACAAGTTATTTTGCTGTCGATTAAGATTTCCAATAAATTGTACTAATTCAGAATTAACTGGGCAGTGATTACTAGAATGCCTTTCTCCACAGAAATCATAAGTAACAAACAAGCCCTAAATAGAATGAACCATTAAAGTATCAAATTTCTTAGCTAAAGCAGCTACTTGTGCAGTCAAGGCATTGATAGCATCCATTTCATGAATACCAACAACTCTCTTAAGCACCGATATCTCAAAAAGCCACTGGTAATTGTTAGATGCCATCTCTTCCAATAGGTCATATGGCTTATCAATAGATTCTGCCATGAGTGCTCTTTTAGTTGCAAAATCAATGGTAGTTCTAATAGGACTTATTAACTCATTATAAAATATTTGTACTTGTAGCCATTTAGGAAACCCATGATCAGGACATCTTCTAAGTAGATCTTTGTACCTTTCCCAAGCATCATATAAAGATTTTGAATCTAGTTGCATGAATAATGCGATGTCATTCCTCATCTTCCCAATTTTAGTTGGTGAGAAGAACTGAGCTAAAAACTTTTAAGCCAGATTATCCCAAGTAGTAATAGAGCTAGTAAGAAGTGAATTCGATGAATTCTTTGCCTTGGCTCGTAATGAAAAAGGAGAGAGTCTTAGCCTAATTGCATCATCAATGATTCCATTGTACTTTAATGTATCACAAATCTCTAGAAAATATGAGATGTATGCATTAGGATCATCATTAGATAAACCTCCAAATTGGATTGATGTATGAATCTTTTGGATGATCATCAACTTTATCTCAAAGTTATTAGCTTAAATGGTTCGCCTTCAAATGCTTGAGTGAAGACCTCACACCAAAAGAATAGTATAGTCTCTCAAAGAACTCGTTTTTCTCTTTCTTGTTCAGCCATTGCTTCAAGATGGGTAGAGTCTTGTGAATTTTCTCTCTGAAATTTTCAAAAGTTCTTTTCAATTTTCAGATCATAAGGGATAATTTCCAAGCTTCTTTTCTCATATAATAACTAAAAGTACCTGAAAATAAAGCAAAAAAAAGCTTGAAGTAAGAATAGTTTGCTTAGTATTAATATTAGTAAAAAGTAGGAAAACAATTCTTCGGCAATAGTACCAAAAAGTTGTTGTAAATTTTCTCATGCAAGTGTACGTATCGTAACAAGTAATATAATAGTATACAGAGTGTCGAATCCCAAAAAGAATTGCACCAACTTTTTCTAAATATTAAAATTAACAAAATCTAATATTATTCAAATAACCAAATTAAAATGATTAAATAAAAGCAAAACTCAAACTAAATAATAAGTAAATTTAATCTAAAAGGCAATAAGTAAAACTTCATTAGACAAATTTAGTTAATAAAAAGCCTACGATTACATTATTCATCAGCACTTCTTCGGAATCCTTTTTCTCTCTCTAAACTTATATTAATGGATTGAGCTGTTAAAAATGAGTCCCAATTTGTTTATAAGTTTCTCCCAAGGTTCTTATAGAAATATCTCTCTCAGTTAATTTACTATGTGTCTATGTAAATTCAATTAGAAAAAAATTCATTAAGCTTGTGCTTTAATCTTGGCTACATGTGACACATAGGTATCTATCTATCCTATATACAAATCAAATCACCTAATCAACTAAGTAAATTTGAGCACATGCTATTCCACTTATGGTCTAATCTGAACTCCTTTCATCAAGTTTTATTCAGATATTCAAATGAATCTAATTGGTGATCAAGCATTTGGAAGCATTAAACACAAAATTGGAACAAACAACTCATATTCCATTGATAATAAGCGAAAGAGAGATAAAGTATTTAGATTACATGTTGAGTTCAATCATAATCTTAGAAAAAGTACATTAGTTCATAATATCTATAGAAAACATCATCCAAAGAAAACCAACCATCAAACCAAGACAAAGAAAGTGAAAAAAGAACTAAAGTAGAGAGCGAAACTAAGATTTGTCAGATCTCAGGTCTTCAATCTTCTTTGATTTTTCCTTTCTTTCTTTTTTTATTTGTGTTTCTTTTTCTCTAGAAAAACTCCTCTTTATTTCCCTTAAAAGTGCTCTAAGATGCCCTCCTTAAATAGCCTTAAAAGACCTAATGTAATGAAAACTAGAATTTTAGTGTGCCAAGATATCGATGAGTGTTGCGGTGCCATAAGCTCAGGTGGCATTATGGTGCATCTTGCCTCATGCTATTTCTACTATATTGGTTCATGTTGTGCCACAATTTTCTCCTTCTTATAGGCTTAATTGGGTAATAAGGTACATGAAAGTTGTATCTCTGCCTCTTAGCTTTTCAATGGTTCAAGAATCACATTAATTTAATTTCTATAGTGAAAGATAAGCTCGAAATACCAAAACATGTGCAATTGAAGTCTGCACCTTGAATGCATTATTTTTCACAAATTATCACCCTTTTGCATGGCACACTTACAAAAGCAACAAACTAACTTAAATAATAACTAAGATTAAAGCAAAATATCACAAATTAGGTTTAAAGCAAATCAACCCAACATAGTTTAATAAAATAAAATAAATGACTAAAAATAACTAATTTCTAACTTAATTCTCAAGAACTTAAACAAAATGCACCCAAAATTGTGATCAAATAACTTTATAAAATAGAATTATCATGCATGCTTACTTAAGGCAGCCAACCGCACCATGAAGTGGGCTGATTAGGCTTGGAGAGAAATAAGTTTCACGGTTGGAGACTTGGTACTAGTTAAGTTGCACATTGTACTCAAGGATAGAGAACTCCAAAAGGGACTGTTAAGACAATACGAGGGGCCTTATAGAGTGACCAAATGAATTGGTCTGATGGCATGCAAACTTGATGTGCCACCTAAGTCGAAAATCCATTCGGTCTTTCATGTGAGTATGTTAAAGCTATATCATGCAAACAAAAATGTTCTAATTCACGAAATAAGTCAAAGAGCACTAGTGGGTGTATGCTCAACGTACGAGAAAAAGGTGGACAACATTCTTACCAATAGGGTGTTACGACAACAGAACTACATGCCGCAACACCAGTACTTAGTGAAGTTGAAAAAAGTGCTAGAAGAATAAGCTAGTTGGGACCTAATAGTAGTTTTGTGATAGTTCCAAGACTCCATTGAGGCATTCCACTCTACAACGAGGGCATTGTCAAAATCAAGTGGGGCAGAATGACATGACATATAGGTCCAACCCAAGTTTCCATAGTCGTTACACGCAATAGCAACTTGAGCCGCATAGGCTACATGCATCCACGCCCTAATGAGCCTAGTGCTCTAGCCCAGCAAACAAGTTTTGTGCATGCAAAGGTCGTGAAAAGATTCTTTACACATATGCGCCACACGCTACTGAGCATTGCACACTTGTGTGGCATGCGCTATTAGGTCATGCAAACTTGTGCACCCCATACATTTAGGCTGTGCACATCCTCGTACCCCACGTTGCAAACCCTAATGTTGCATAGCCTTAGCTCCTAAAATTTGGATGCCGCATGGAGGAAAGCTGCTCATGCTGCACAACTAGGGCAAACACTTGTGAGCCACTCCTATCGCATTATGCGTTGCACAAGCAATGGCCACTTTGAAGAATCGATTGGGTTGTATGGGAATTGGGTTATTTGGGCTGTTGTTTAGGGTTAGATACTTGCTGAATAGGTTAAGGATTTTACCTTAACATATCTTAACTTTTCTTGTATTCTAAGGAAATCTAGGTTAACATATTTCCTTGTTTTTATTTACTTGTTCAGTAAGTAGGTTAAAAGCTATAAATAGCCACCCTAGGTTGTCCTTTATTTTCATCAAGTATTAATCATTTACTTTTGTGCTTAGATCATAGTTACTTTATTTTTCTCTTATTAGAGCAACAATCCTTATTTATTGTCCCCAATCTCTTTTTTCAAGTTTATTTAATTTATGCTTCTGCATTCTTACACACCGTTATGTACTATTTAGTGATAGAAAACAGTAACCCTCATTAAGGCTTGCTTAATCTTACCTACATGAAATTATAACATTGCACGAATAAAGTTCCAAGCCTATGACACCTTACCCTTGGTGGCAGCTATTAAGTATATTTAGAACCTTGGGAATGAGGGTGGTTAGTGTCCATCAGGGCACCACGTGTCCTCTTGGTTGATGAAGAGCTTGATGGGCCTTTTATTGTTTTGGCGTAAGCCTCATTCATAACAAGGCATAGTTTGATATGAGTTTCATGTTATCTTAGATATATATATTACATCCATTAAAAACATCAAATGCTCTTTAAGACTCCATAATGAAGTTATTTTTTGTTTAATAGTTACAACCTTTGAATTTTTTTTTTTTTTGCAAAGTCTAATGAACTACAGGACTTTTAATCCCTACATAAAGTTTAGGATTGCCTCTGCCTTTTTTCTTGAATCATCTCCACCAAAACTGAGAGCAACAAACATAGATGAAAGGTAAAAAAATTGGCATCATATATTCCATGATTATTTTTGGGCAAACATTCCACTAGAAGAAGAAGCATTATCCAGTTGCAAATCTCGGAGTTTCATTAGTTAAAGAGACAAACTTAACATATTTCACGTCTCTATATATAACATAACACCCATCTTCACTGCCTGATTACGAGCATATTTAGTTTGATTATTTTAAACTTAAAATCATTATAAATTTCTTATAAAAAATAATAGCTCTCAAATTTAAGATAAAGCTATTTGGCAAATTTACTTTTCTAGCAAAACAACTTATATAAGCTCTAATTTTAATTGAAATTACCGTAAAGCATATTTAAATCATAATTTTCTATTAATCATAATTTTTTTTCTTTTTTTTTTTAGTAGTCTTTAGAGAGAGAGGTAAAGCAATGATAAATCACCATTTAGGTTAGAGTTGGGAGATTTGTAGAGAGACGGAGATGAGAGGGAGATCGATTGAGAGAGAGGGTACTTTTTAAGATGGTAATGTTGGGATTATATTTCATAAATGAGGACATTTTTTAAACGAAAAGAAAAATTCTTTTGAAAAGCTAGTATATTTCTAAAAGAAGAAAAGAGAAAACTTCTCTCTAAAATTTTTCCTAAAACTTTTTTTTAAAAAAAATTTTTGTTGACAGAGTTTGGACTTAAAGTGGGTTAACTCTGTACTTGACAGATGATATGAAATCAGTCCCTTATTTGTGCACCTGTCCTAGCGAAGATTAAACAGCAAATTACGTTTCCGGAGGAGAAATTAATCACTTGAGCATTTTGCTTGCAATCATGTTTCCATGGGGACCAGTAAAACTTTTATTGTTTTTTGTATTTGGAACATAAACCATATATATATAAAACAAACACAGGGGCCTGCCCTAAATTTCCATTTTTTTTAAGAGTTGTTGAGTCGATATTCCCCAATTTAATTACAAACCTAATACTTTTGGTAATACTTTTGGGCGTAATAACCTTATACACAATAAATAAAGTAATAGGTAGACATAAAATAAGAAAGAGAGGCAAGTAGACCGAAGAGTTGTTTAACGGCTTTTCCAACAAAGCTGAGAGGTACATCTCCCTGAGCTCCGGCCCACGATCAAGCTTCCTCCCCACCACCCACTTCAACTTGTTGAATCCAACGCTTCCAATAAGAGGAGCATAGATCTCCTCCAGCTGCTCCCCAGCACAGAAGAAATGATCTAACCAAAACAATCCTCCAGGCCTTAGCACTCTGTAGATATCATACATTAAGAAATGCAGCATCGTCCTTGGAATCCAGTTGCTCAAAAGGTGCATGGAGTGCACTATATCCAATGTGCTATCGAAAAAAGGCAGCCTCTGCGAAATGCTCACGTACAAAGGGATAACCCCTCTTGAGGCGATGAAAGTATTGAATGGACCATTTAAGTTCATGGAGGTTGTTACAATGGTTATATTTCTTTCCATCATTCTGACAGCAAAGGTAGCCACCCCACCACCGATATCAAGCCCTATTCGGATTGTACCAGGTTTTCTTGCCGCTAACACTTCATCAATAGCAAAATCAAGTCCATCCTCGCTTCTATTTGAAGTCCAACGAGTTCTCTCACGGCCTTCAAGATCAAAGCAATCCTTGCAATCGTCGAAACCCTTTTGCTTACGCTTCCTATTGATAAGACAAGTGTAGTTCTTGCAAGCATAAGCTGTCCACACAACTGATGAATCGGGTGGTGTTCTCCATAGGCTGGTAGGAAGAGGATATGGTTCGGTGTATTGAGGCGATGCAGCGGGGCGACAACGGCGGCGAGGCAGTGGCTCGCAGCCCCTGAGGAGGAGCTTCTGGCTGAGCAGCTCGTCATCCGGACATGATCCATTCACTTTGTACGACATGTACTGTCGAAGTTCATCCGAAAAGAGAGTGCAGGCGCGTCCCACTGCAGAATAGATGGTATTGGAACCAAAGTTTGTGTTGAATCCTAATGGAAGTGACTGTCCAGAAAGAAAGCTAAGGAATTCGTCAGGTTTTGAAGTAGGTTGAGAGATCAATTCAGACAGAGAATAATCTTGCACGCTGGTCGCGTCAGTAGCATTGGTTTTGGGGGCAACGGTGTCACTGGAAGAGGAAGTAGGGACTCGGACTCGGAGAGAGCAAGAAGCGTAAAGGGTGGAAGATAGGAAAAAGGTGAGGAGATTTGTTGACAAGAGGAGGAAAAGGAAGCAGAGATTGGTGGAAAGAGACTTGGGTTTTCCAGGGTAAACCATTGGATTTGGATTTGTTCGCTGTATTAAGAAAGATATCGTACAAGTTATTAAGCACAGCTGAACTGGAAGCCGCTAGTTTTGCTATTCATTTTTTTAAATCTCTTAAAAACAAAACCTAATACGACAGCTAATACAATAATTTTAAAATTAATATGGTCAACTGAAGAAAATATTATATGCATAAAATAATAATTAAAGATGATATAACAAAGTCACAACTCATGATAGAAATTAGATAAAATGGTTACTAAATCAAGATGCTTTTTATTCCTAAGGAAACCTGTCCAAACAATTAGCAGATGAGATGCTTTTTACGCGCACTTGATCCGTCATATACAAGTTAATTTAGATACGGATTAGTAGCTATATCATTTACAATTTATTGGGGAAAGCCTTTTGTTTCCACGGAAATGCAAATGGAAGGGCAAGGTCTAGCTTTTTCTCTCCTTTTTTTGAAATATCATTATTTTGTTCTCATGTGTAGCAACCTGAATACTTGTTCTCTTATTAATTTTTAAATGATAAGTATATATAAAAACGGTTAGAAAAATGTGTGAATTTAAAAAAATAAATTGTGGAATAGTTTACTTTAATCTAACTTGTACCACTTGTAGTCTTCAAAAATTAATGCAGAGTGACTTCAAGATCTTAATCCTTAGACATCTTACGAGCTTATTGATGATCTCTAAAAGACTTGTCGTAGGAAACTATTACCGAATTGAGTAATAATCACACTTTTTACAGTACAAAAACCTTAGCCTGCCGATGGAGTGACAATTGTATTTTATTAAGGAGAGGAGAGTTTTCTACTCTTGTAATTTTCTAAATAGTCTTAGTGAATTGTTGGTATGGCATTTATTGGAACACCCAAGCCTATTTGTAATCTTTTAAAGATCAATAGATAACTCTCATAAGATAATCCAATAATACCTTATCAGATGATGTTAATATCTAGTAATCTTGATAATTCCAATTTATCAAGATAAAAGGGTAAAACATTATTTTAGATAGTCTAATCCAAATAGGACGGCCATCAAAGGTGTTATCGCAAGAAAGCCATTATCTCTTACTCACACATGATGGTAAAACTATCTTACCACTCTCTTAAGCCATCCCATTGCCAAGTTCATACTAGTTATTGGATTGTCCAAACGCTAAGTACATTTGAATGTTAGGAGGTCTATATTAGGAACTCATTAGAGACAACATAATCAACCATTTAAAAAATATAGTGTTTTACGTGATCTAGATTTATTTGATCATATTAGATTATCTCAAAATTCCTCAATGAGCATATGTCAACCACTTTTCACATTGTAACTTATATTTACATTTATGTAATAGCTTTCAAAAGCGACATAACGGATTGACCTTTAATATAGTGCATTGATGTAATATTAATAGTCTTTCCCTTCACCCTCACACCACTTAATTTATAAAATGAGTGTTTTCTTAGTAATGTCTTATATTGTGAAACCCCAAACCCATCCGAGTCCTACGAGAGCTCATCAATTAATTGATGGACGTCTTCTATCCGTCCCCTGTCCATCCCTTATCGGTCATCTGTCAGGGCTTAGGCACCTACCTCGAGTCTTCTTAAATTCGTTCCTTATTTGTTGTCTGTTGGAGGCCATCAACCATCGGACGGATGTCCTCTTCTATCCCTTGTCCATCATCCATTAAGGCTCCAACAACTATCCTCGATCCCTGAGAGCTTGTCAACCATCGAGCTGAGGCTTTTTATCCATCGACTGTCTAGAGTCTAGCACCTATCCTGGGTCCTTTAGAAGGCAATCTACCATTGAGCTGACCTTGTTTATCTGTCTCCTATCTGTCATCCATTAAGGCTCTGATATCCATCTCGAGCCCTCCAAAAGCCCATCAACCACCAAGCTAACCTTTTTTGTTCATTGTCCCCTGAGGCTTCGTGAATGGAGAGGTCAACCATGCATCCCAATGTAATAAAAATTAAAACAATGGAACAAAAACAAAAACAAAACATAAAAAATCGACCTTACCCACCTAAGGTCATTTTCAAAGGTCCTTTAAATGTCACCAAGTAATTTTGCAGCAAGCACATGATTATAGATCACTACCTTATAGATAAAGGATGCTGGATCCTTTATCTTAACACCTAAATAGTTCTTTGATCAACTCCACACCATGCTCAGTTGTAGAAAACTAAAGCTGTCCAAGATTTCCTTATGCAGCCTCTAATGAAAGTCCAAACCAATGTTCTCTAAAATTCCTTCGCAAGGATTGGGATTACTTTTCCCTCTACAAACTGCTAGCTAGGTTGATTACAAGAGTGAAACTTTCTATAGTGTAAACTCACCCTTATTTGAAAGCTTTACAAAAGTAAAATATTTTCTTTCTCTCTTGTAAAAGGCGGCTATGAACCGGTTAGGGTCTCTGTGTTTTCAAACTCTCTTGAAAGTGAGGCTTAAGTTAGGCTTTTATGGTTAGGGTTAATTCCAGCCCATGTGTGGGAAATTACATCTTTATGTAATTATGAATTAACCTCTCACTTAATTAAACTATTTTAATTAAGTGCTTAGTAGCTCATAGCTTCTAACTTGATTAAGTCTTACTTGATCACCCATCCCATTTTATTTTCAAATCTCATTTTGCGTGCATGACCCATTCGGCTTTCAACATGTTGGCAATGTTCTTTGAATGTAATCCAAAAATTAATTTTAGGATTAGATAAATTGAAACTAGTTTAAGTTTATCATTGATCATATGAACCATCTTATGATCATAGACCAAGAGTGGGATAAACCAATCTATCATGACCTCTCAAATGTTAGAGAATTGAAAATAGTTTGACTCAACATTTTCAGTGATTAGTCTTACAATGTAATTCAACCTTTTCACCATGTATCTCCAAATGCTTAAAAGCAAGGTGGAGTGTTAACTCTTAAAACTTTCCATAGTAGTCAGGACTTTGATCAACTGTCATGCATTGTAAGAAATTCATTTCCTAAAATTATCGTGCTCTAGCCAGAGTCTTCACTGTTGGAATAAGCTCTATAGCCAATTGAGATTTGTCAAGCTTTGGTTCCAATCATGCAACTAGACCATTCATATTGAATGATGAAAGGTTTTCCTTCATAAATAAGACATCAATTATAATGGTTTATAAGTCTAATTGGTTGAATTCCATGAAATTAATATGTCTTAAAAGGGAACTGTAATGGGTTGCAATTATAGGATTCCTATGCATCAAAGCATAAGCTCTAAATAGTTCTTGATCATTGTATTACTAAAACGGGGCATCAATAATGTTCAAAGATTGGCACATGCTATGTTACTTATTTTTGAAGTAAACAGCAAATCTCATAGATTGAAGTATTGAGATACTTGGAACTAGGATGTGGGTGTTTGCCTTAGGAAAGCAAGTTCACTAAACATGACCCGATATGAGAAGTGCATTTGGTATCTCATTTCAGTGTCTGCATAATACTTCTCATGTGACAATCGTGTAAATGCTCCTTAGACTTGAGACACTAAGTTATTTTATATGTAAAGTGCTATGCTTTGACTTCATCCCTATGAGTGCTTAATCAGGATGTCAAATTAGGATGCTTTTAGGTATATCATGAAGCATGTGAAGGCAAAATAAGTGGTCAAAATCATCACCTTAAGTGAATAATGGGACATATCCTAACAGTTCTTGGTTGATATTAGCTTATTGAAGTCCTTGGCTAAGGCAACTTGGAGATTATGAAAAAGAGTTTCATAAGCCTCTATTGAGCTAATTATCAAACTTCAGGAACAATGTGGAGTTCTAAGAGAGAAGACACTGCACCATGCTCTTGTCATCTTGGGGATATACAATGAGAGAATGAATTACAGTGAAAGACTGATCACTGAAAGGTTGAGTTAAACCATCCTAACTCTTTTAACATTTAAGTGCCCATGATTCATTGCTAGATGTCAATCTTGGTCTATGAAATTAAATTAATTAAGATTACAATTTAATTCCATTGCCAACATGTTGGAAACCTATTGGGTGACACACAAAAGGTGATTATTAAGATTAAATTGGAAAAAGTGATTAAATTGGACTTAATCTATTAGAAGCTTATAATCTTTTAGACGAAATTGATTAATTATGGACTCAATCAGTTAACAACAAGCATGTATGTAGTGTTATCGAGTAATGTAATCATTGTTTGATTAATGAGTTGTAAGTTTTTAAGGAGTTCATTAAAATTGTTTAATTAAGTTATTGGATTAATTTGTAATTACATAAAAGTTATATAATTAACATAATTAGGGCTCAAATTAATCAAAGTGTATAAACCTTGCCATAAGCCTAATTTCAAGTTGAGAAAGAAAAAAATTAGCCAACTAGTGTATACTGCCCTTGGTGAGTACAAAGGAGAAAATAAGTTTTCTTCTTGAATATTTGGCCTAGAGTTTTTGTTTCTAAAGATAAGTGTTTTTAACACTACTTTGCTAGACATCGTAAAGCACAACAATTCCGTCCTAATATAGGGTTTCTCATAATCATTGTGTGGACTTTCATTAGAGGCTACACGAGAACCTCTTAGATAGCTTTGGTTTACTAGAATCGAGCTAGATGTAAGGTCAATCAAACATGCTATTCGGGGCTTTAGATAAGGAATCTAGCATTCTTTAGCTGGAGAGGTAGTGATCTATGATCATATGTATACTGATGCATGGTCGGCCTATCCCAACATTGGTATCAAAGCCACCTTCAAGGCGTTTAATTGTTTTAACATGTTTATATGTTGATGATTAACTTCTAGAAATTTTACTTTTTGATTTTACATCACTCTTTGAAAAACCTATTTCTAGAATGTGTTTTTAATTTAATCAATTTTATTAAAATTTAAAGACATTTTTATCATGATTTAGACATGTTTAAGTTATTTTAAATGATGTTTAAAGTCCTAAAAGGTTAGGATTAATTACCATTTGTGACAAATCTTTGGGTTGAAGAAAACACTAACTAGTTTTTGCATTGTCTA